AAGTAGCAAAAGGAATGGAGGACGAGGACTATGATCTCTATGAGGATATTGAGCCGCCAACTAAGCAGCAGCAGCAGCAGCAGCAGCAGGCAGCAGCAGCAGTAGACAATGATCCTGCTGCGGCAGCAGCAGCTGCTGCTGCTGCAGCAGCAGCCCCGGCGTTTGCTGCAGCCGCTCCTGCATCCAGCAGTACAGGAGCAGCAGCAGCAGCAGCAGCAGCAGCAGCACCTCCCTCTGCAGCAGCAGCCGCAGCGCCGCAGCCCCCAGCAGCAGCAGCAGCAGCAGCAGCAGCAGCAGCAGCAGAAGATGATGATGATGGAGTTATAGTGGTTGGGGGCGAAGAGGATTTGGCCGTCATCTGCGACAGCCCTTCAACTGAAAACAAATTTGGAGTTCGTTTTAATTAAATTAATTAAATTAATTTAATTTAATTATTTATTTATTTATTTATTTATATATTTAATTTATTTTGTTTTATTAGTTTAATTGTTATTTAATTTAATTAATTCAATTTAATCAATTGTTTATTATTTAATTAATTTAATTAGTATAATTATTTAATTAGTTTACTTGTTATTTAGTTTAATTAATTAATTTAATTAATTAATTTAATTAATTAATTTAATTTAATTTAAGTTAATTTATTTTTTTGCAGAGAGGATGGCAAGGCGAAAGAACCCGCAGGAGCGTTTTGTACATGCGGAAAGGTAATTAAATAAATTAAATTAAATTAAATTGAATTAAATTAATTAAATTAAATAGATTAAATTAAATTAAATTAAATTAAATTAAATTAAATCAATTTAATTTAATTAAATTAAATAAGTTTAAATGAATTGAAAAATTAAATTGAATTTTATAAATTAAATTAAATACATAAATAAATAAATAGAATAAATCAATAAATAAATAAATTATTTAATTGATTAATATATTAAATTAAATAATAAAATCGATCAGGTAAATTGAATAAATTAGTTAATTAATTCCTTAAGTAAATATATAAATAAATAAATAAATAAATGAATTGTTCAATATATAAAATAAATAAATAAACAAATAATTTAAACAAACAAATAAATAGGTAAATAATCTGATTAATTAATTAATTGATTAATTAATTAAATAATTAACTTAATCTATTTTATTTATTTTGTTTATTCATTTTATTTTTTATTTTCAGATAGGCCTGTCTTTTTGGGGGCGCCGCCGCCAGTAGCAGCAGCAGCAGCAGCAGCAGCAGCAGAGCAGCTGCTGGTTTTGTCGCTGCTGCCTTGGGTGAGTTCTGAAGTCCTAAACCCCAAATTAGGGTTTACAGTTCGCCAGTCAGGGTTTAGGGTTTGGGGCTTGGGCCTGGGGGTTCGCTGCTTCGTAGACGCGTTTTTACGGTTTAGGGTTTGGGGTTTTTCTTGTTCACAATTAGGGTTTAGGGTTTAGGGTTTGGGGCCCCCTTCCTAATTCATAATTAGGGTTTATAGCCTGCGGCTCAGCTCCTCCAGATTAATTAATGGCCTCCATTAGGGTTTAGGGTCTAGGGTTTGGGGTTTAGGTTTTAGGGTTTGGGGTTTAGGGTTTAGGGTTTAGGGTTTGGTATTTGCTAGGATTCGCCTCTCCGCACCCTCCAGGGTTTACGACCCAGACCTTTCTCCTCTGGGCCTAAGGTTTAGGGTTTAGGGTTTAGGGTCTAGGGTCTAGGGTTTAGGGTCTAGGGTTTAGGGTTTAGGGTTTAGGGTTTAGGGTTTAGGGTTTAGGGTTTGCGCGCAGTGGGTGACGGAGGTTTCTCTCCGCGAAGCCGCTTCTGTCTTTGGCGGCGTTTTGGGAGTTAGGGTTTTTGGCAACTTCTCCGGCAGCAGGCCATCGGGGTAAAATAAAAACAACAATAAATAAATAAATAAACAAATAAATAAATAAATAAACGAATAAAAATAAAATAAATAAATAAATAGTTTTGGATTTCATGGTTTGTTTGCTTTCGCGGGTTCGTTTGCGCTTTTTTTGGTGTCCGTAGCGCATCTGCAGGGTTTAGGGTTTAGGGTTTAGGGTTTAGGGTTTTAGGGTTTGTTGATTTTTGATTTTACATTACTTATTCTTAATGGTTTATTACCCCGAAGTGGGGTTGAGTATTTATTTATTTATATTTGTTTTTATTTGTTTATTTATTTCCAAAATGAAAAAATCTAAAAAAGGAAATTAAAAATAAAAATAAAAATAAAAATAAATCAATTAAAAGAAGTAGCAAGTAGTTGCGGTGTATGTACACCTCAGAGTCGCGCTTCTTCTCTTCGAAACGGAAGGACATGCAGCAGCAGCAGCAACAGGACTCGGCAAAGTGTGAGCAGCAGCAGCAGCAGCAGCAGCAGCAGAAGCAACAGCAGCAGCAGAAATGACAGCAGTGGCGGCGCCAGCAGCAACAGCAGCAGCAGTGTATGAACAGCAACAGGAGTATTGGTAGCAGCAGCGGCAGCTGCAGCTGCCGCAGCTGCTGCTGCTGCTGCACTAATATGAACTTGTGTTTCTTCCCTTGCTGTTTGCAGGTTAGCTGCGCAGGGCAGCTCAGCAGCAGCAGCAGCAGCAGCAGCAAAACGTCCCTTGTCTGTGCGCCGCTGCCCCACATTTTTATTTAATTTATTAGCAGCAGTTAAGCCTCACTGGGCTAGGGGGTCTTTGCTGTCGCGAGAATTGGTAATTTGCTGCTGCTGCTGCTGCTGTGGCTGGTTTGCTGCGGATGCTGCTGCTGCTGCTGTGCTGCTGTCGCTGGTTTTCTGCTGATGTTGCGGCTGCTGCTGCTGCTGTGCCTGAGTTGCTGCTGGTGTTGCTGCTGCTGCTGTGGCTCAGTTGCTGCTGGTGTTCATGCTGCTGCTGTGGCTGCCGCTGCTGCTGCTACTACTGCAGCGGCTGCTGCAGTGACTGCTGCAATCTGCTGTACTGTAGCTGCTGCTACAGAGAGTGTTCCCGCTGCTGCTTGGCTGCTGCTGCTGCTGCTTGAATCTTTTTCCTATTCGTTTGCCTTGTTTAAATTATATTTGATTGTTTTTAATTATATTTTTTATTTGCTGCTGCAGCGAAACGCTATATTTGCCGTTGCAGGGGTCAGCAACGAGCCCCTGCCGCAGCAGCTGCAGCAGCAGCAGCAGCAGCAGCTGCAACAGCAGCAGCAACCGCAGCAGCAGCAGCAGCAGCAGCAGCAGCAGCAGCAGCAGCAGGTGACGACGCAGGGCGCGACTGCAGCAGACACTCACAGTACGCCCCAGCAGCAGCAGCAACCGCAGCAGCAAAAAACACAGCAGCAGCAGCAGCAGCCACAGCAGCAGCAGCAGCAGCAGCCACAGCAGCAGCAGCAAACGGAGGCATCGCAGCAGAAGACGGGCCTCAGCGCACTGTGAGCGGTTTATTTCAATTAAATATAAATAATGAATAATAAAATAATAAATAAATAATAAATAAATTAAGTAAACAAATAAATAAATGATTAGATAATTAATTAATTAATTATTTGTTTAAAGTTGCAGTTTGCTTTGATGCTGTTTTGTACGCGAACATATATATGAGTATTGGACTGGCTTTTTATTTATTTTTATAAATTTATTCATTTTATTAATTATTGTATTTATTTATTTATTTATTTATTCATTATTAATTTGTGTATTTGTTGTCAATAGATTTCCCTTTTTCGATCCCTCGGTGCTGCAAATTGACGGAGCAGCAGCAGCAGCAGAGGACTGCAGCAGCAGCAGCGAAGCAGAAACTAGCAGCAGCAGCAGCAGCAGCAGCAGCGCTCCGCAGAAGCCGGCGACGAGCAAACGATCCAGGTAGAGCCCAAGCAGCCAGCTGTCTGGTTAGCTGCTCTTCTTACTATTTGGCTAGCTAGCTAGCTAGCTAGCCAGCTAGCTAGTTGGCTAGCTAGCCAGCTAGCTAGTAGGCTAGCCAGCCAGCCAGCTAGCTAGCTAGCTAGTTGGCTAGCTAGCTAGCTAGCTAGCTAGCCAACTAGCTAGCTGGCTAGCTGGCTAGCTGGCTAGCTAGCTAGTTGGCTAGCTAGCTAGCTGGGTATATAGACAGGTAGTGAGAGAGATAAATATGCGGGACTGGGTTTTGAGTGTTTAGTTTACTTTTTTAGTTTATTAATAAATTAAATTAAATTAAATTAAATTTATTTAATTAAATTAAATTAAATTAAATTTATTTTAATTTTATTTTTTGTTTTGCTGCTGCTGTTCAGGAGAGCTAGGGCGAAGCGGCTGAAAGCAGAAGCTGCTGCTCTTCCGCAGCAGCAGCAGCAGCAGCAGCAGCGATGGGTGCAGCACCAGCAGTACCTCCAGCAGCAGCATCAGCAGCAGCTGCAGCAGCAGCAGCAGTACATGATGAGGTACCACCCGCAGCAGCAGCAGCAGCAGCAGCAGCAGCGGGTGCTGCCGCGAGGAGTCAATGCCATGCCTTTGGGGGGATCGCATTCTTATGGTTCAAACTACAGAGGCAGCCAGATGTAGCTTTTGCTGCACTTATTATTTATTATTTATTTATTTATTTATTTATTTATTTATTATTTATATTTAATTCATTTGTTCCTTTCTTTGTCTGCTCTAAAGGAGCCTTTTCTGTTTTGTTCATTTGCTTCCACTCCAGTCAGTCAATTAACAACTTATTATTTTATCTATTTATTTATTTATTTATTATTTATTAAAGTTATTTATTAAGTACTTATTATTTAGTTATTTAGTTGAAAAGTTTTAGTAGGTACTTGTAGTTGTGGGAAATGAGGCCACGCGCTGCAGCTGTTGTTTTGCAAAGGAGACGGAGATGCAATTAATTTGGTATATAATTTCAGATTTGAAGTTTATTTGAAGAAAAATTTAAATTTGAAGTTTATTTGAAGATTAAAATTCAAATTTGAAGTTTATTTGGCCATTTATGAAGCTGCAGTGTCACTGCGGTTTCCTTCACTTCCGGGGTGTATAGACACTCCGTGGCCCGCTGGAAATGGCTGAAAGATCAGGAGGACTCTATTTATACTTTTAACAGACAATTAATCTTCTAAAATTCAAATTAAAATGAAATTTAGGAAATTAATTATTTATAAATAGCAGAAATGAACAAAAGAGCGGCAAAAAGGGGGAAGTCGCCAGCGGCCGCCGCTGGTGACCAGTGGCTCTCGGGGTGGAGCTGGGGTGTATCTGCAGCTGCTGCGCCGCGGCTTTCTGCGATAAAAAGGGAATAAATGAGAAATAAGAAGAGAACTAAATGAAGTAAAGAAGTTTTAAATAAATGAATTCGAATTAAGGGCCTGGAAAGCTCAAAAGCTCCGGGTGTACGTACACCCGACCAGCCAGTGCGCCCCTGGCCGCCGGCGAATGCGCCCCCGGGGTCACTGATAGAGAGCCGATTTGGAAGCATTTAATTGCTTTTTGGGCCTCAAATATTGCAAATTTTGTCTATTTTGTGTTTTGACTTTCAATAAAATCTCAAAACGGGAATTAAAAACGCTTTTTGGCCAAAATTCATCGGATTTAGCTCCGGAACTCCAAATCGCCTATTTACACCGCCGCAGCAGACACTACTGTTGAAGCCAGGTAGTTCTGAGCCTTTGAATTGTTTTTGAATTAATTTAATTTATTTAATTTATTTAATCTATTTATTTAATTTAATTAATTTAAATAAAATTAATTTAAATGAAATTCGTTTAATTCAATTAATTGGATATTTAGAAGTAAGTTGCAGGTCCATGCTTCTTCAGCTTTTTTTTGTTTCTTTTTCGAATTTTGTTCATTTGTTCTTCTTTTTTCCTTTTTTGTTTATTTTTACTATTTTATTGTTTAAAAATACCAATTAATGCAATTAAATTAGCAAAAAACTTCTCCAAAATCGAACTAATTCGCAAACAAAGAGAGCTACTAGGACAGCCCCCTGGCGGATTTCTTTGCGAATTTTAAATCTTTTTTTCTTTTTTCAAAGTTCTTTTAATTTCTTTTAATTCTTTTTTGCTTCTGCAGCAAAATGGGAGCTGTTGTTGGCAGAGAAGCAGCAGAAACTGTTCCTTTTGAAGTTCTGCGAGAAGCTCCAGCTTTTGAAATTCGCCATTACCTGCCCCACCCCATCGCTGAGGTGTCTGTACACCTCAGCTCCGCCACTCCGCCCTTTCCCCCTTTTCTGCCACTACTGCCATTTCCATTGTTACCACTCTTATTATTATTATTATTACATTATTATTATTATTATTATTATTATTATTATTATTATTATTATTGTTTGTGGCAGACCCCATGGCAAGAAAACTCGAAGAAGACATTTTTCGCGTTGGCGGATTACATAGGGGCTTTTGACACTCCGCACAACAGAGAGGGTGAGAGGGAAATAAATGAATTTAAAAAATTCTTTTAATTGAAGTTTTTTGCAATTTAAATGGCATGTAAAGCTCCATTTGCTTTTTAAAAACAATTAAACTTCATTAAAAAGAAATGGAGCTTTAAATACCATTTAAATTGCAAAACGTTTAATTGCAATTCAAAGAATTCAAAGAAAATAATTCAAAGTTCTTTTCGCTGCTGCAGCAGCAAGCAGCAGCTGTTCAACTGCGCAGCAGCTCAACTAGTTGAGTTTTAAACGATTAAAGGGTCAAATGAATTAGTTTTTTAATTATTTTTAATTAAAATAAATAAAAAATGACAATTAGTTTAATTAATTTAATTAAAATGACTTTTTATTTCTCCAATGACGCCGCTGCAGCGCAAAAGCTCGCCATGACCACTCCGGTGGAATGCATTGTGGAAAAAGGAGAATTCAAAGTCATGCGTTTCTTTTCTCCAAAAGAGGTACAAAAAGCAAAATGAAAATAAAAATAGAATTTAAATAAACAAATAAATTCAAACAAACAAGTAAAATCAATTAATGCGCCAAAATTCAAAAAGATTCAGTTTGCACATTTTGCAGTTGCAGTGCGCAAACTTGACGTGTACGTACACCGCAGGCGCAGGATTTTTTCCGGATTTTCTGCAAATACACGAAACAAATGAGCAAACTGTTCAATTATTAGTTATTATTTATTGTTTTAAATATATTTTTGGAATTATTTGGTCCAGTTTTGTGTATTTGACGGCTCAGGTGGCTTCTGCTGCTTCCATGCCTTCCCCGACCTCTCCCGCGGTGTCTGTCGATACAGCTGGGGAGCGCTTCGTCGCGGCCCGCCGTTTTTCGGGTTCCATAAATTTGGATTTAAATCCTTTTGAGGATTTATCAGTGCGGCCTCAGTTGCTGCACGTGGTAAGGGCTTTGCTGCGGGACCAGCTGGTCACGACGAGCAGCAGCAGCAGCAGCAGCAGCGGCAGCAACGGGAACAGCAGCTGCAGCAGCAGCAGCTGCAGCGACGAGGAGATCTGGCAGCAAATTAAAGAGGGACTCATTAATGATGCAGCTTCAAATAAACCTGCCAAGTTTTCTCTTGCCATTTATAATTCTCCTTTTTGTTTGCCTTTCTTCCGGCGAAATGAAATATGGATTTCTCTTTCCAAAGAAACTGTAGAACGCATGCAGCAGCAGCAAAGCATGCAGCAGCAGCAAAGCGTGCAGCAGCAGCAAAGCGTGCAGCAGCAGCAAAACGGCACAAGTTGAAAGTTGAAAGTTTGTTTATTTATTTATTTGTTTGCCCTTCTGCTGCCCGCCGAGCAGCCACCCTCTTTTGTGGAAAATAATATTCGAAATATCTTTTTAATTATTTAATTTATTTCTCTTTTCACTTTTATAATTCATTTATATTTATCGGCTTCTGCGCTGCTGCTGCTGCAGCGGCAACTTCGCAACTCGCTCAGGTGTACGCACACCCCAAATTGCTGCTGCAGCAGCAGCAACTTTTCAACTCGCTCAGGTGTACGTACACCTCAAACCCGACCCTGGCTTGACACTTCGCATTCGCAAAAAACGCAACAAGAGGTCAAGTAAATAATAAATAGTAAATAAATAAATAAATAAATAAATTAGTTTGATTATAATTTAATTAAATAATGAATTAATTAATTAGTCTTTTTTGGACCTTGAGCCCCACAAGTCCTTTTTGAATTTCATTAAATGAATTTTTAATTTAAAAGAATAAAAAGAAATAATTAAAAGACTTTTGAAAGAAGAAGAGAAAGGAAAAAAGACTTTGAAAAAAAGCAAAGAAGGATTTGGGACAAATTAAAAAAAGTTGGAATTTAAAAAAAAACGACGAAGTCAAACTTTTGCTGCAATAGATTGCTGCTCGGGGCTTTTAAAAGATTTTATTTTTTTGATGAACTAAAAAAAGAAATAATAAAAGAAAAGAAAATCAAAAATGAAAACAAAAAATTGAAAATAAAAAAAGAGAAACGGAACTTTTAAAGCGCTCTAAAGGGACCTGCGCTGTCTGCGCCAGAAACAACATTTTGCTTTATTTAATTTATTTATTTTTATTTAATAAATTTAATTAATCACTTAATTAATATTAAATTAATTTAGTTAATTTAATTAATTAATTTTTTATTTTAACTATTCATTTATTTGCTTATTTACTTGGCTATTATTATTTATTCAATATCTGTTGGTTTTTATTCGTTTTGCTTTTATTTCAAATAGCTATTAAATTAAAAATAAAAAAGAATAAAAAACAACTGGGGAATAACAATTGTATATAAGAATAATAAGACATATTAAACTAATAAGAACAATAATAACAATAAGAATAATAGTAATGATAATAATAATAATAAGAGTAATAATAGTAATAATAATAATAATAATGATAACAATAACAATAATAATAATAATAATAATAATAATACTAATAATAATAATACTAATAATAATACTAATTATGATAATAATAGTAAATAATAACAAATAATAGTAATGATACTAATAATAATAAATAATAATAATAATAATAAATAATAACAATAAATAATAAATAATAAATAATTAAAGTAAATAATGAAATATAGAATAAATAATGAAAAACTGATAAGGACTGGCAAATAATAAACAGAAAAAATGAAAATTAAAAAGTGAAATTAAATCGACAAATAATAAAATGAAAAATGAAAATAAATCAAAAATGAAAATTAAATAAAAAGTCACTACACAGGAAATAATAAATTATTATTAAATAATAGTGAAGCTAAAATTATTTAATGAAATAAAAAAAACCAAATTATAAATTCCTTCAAGAAATGAATAAATAGAATTATAAAATAATTAAAACAAATAAATAAATAATAAAAGCTATAACTTTTTAAATAAATGAATTCTGATTAAGCAAAAAAATGGGGCTGCAGCTAAGGGAAGGACCAGGCAGCGCAGCAGCAGCAGCAGCAGCAACAGCAGCAGCAGCAGCAGGGTGTGTCTGCCACCGGAAAAAACGGAAAAAAGAGTTTAAGCAGCAAACGAAAACAAACAAAAACAAATAATAACAAATAATGACAAATAATAACAAACAATGACAAATAATAAGCAGCAAATATTAAATAATAGTGAATAATAACAAATAATAATAATACTAAATGTTCTAAGCGAAAAGAAGGAAGAGATGTGGCGCTGCTCTGCAGCAGCGCTGCAGCAGCGCAGCGCAGCAGCAGCTCTGCTGCGCTGTTGCTGCTGCTCGGAGCAGCAGCGCTGCAGCAGCGCAGCGCAGCAGTAGGCCCGGTGCGCTGCTGC